GTGCTCTGATACCATGTTGTCACGACCCAAAGTCCACTAAGGGTCGTGATGGAGCCGGACACTACTGTCAGGCAAGCCAACCAAATTACTTAATCAAATTCTCGTTTTATTACTTTTGAAAATCTAGGATTTTCCTTCAATTTTAGCAATTTAAAAGATAATTGTCTCAAATCAAATTTAAACAATAAGCAGTTGAATACAAAATACTTCAAACCATCCCAGAACCCAGTGTCACAAGTGCATGAGCATCTACTGATAAGGAAATAAAATACAACATCCGTCCGGAATACAGTGGACAGGAAATAAATACAACATACTAAAAAGGACTATGCTAGCTGCGGGTCGCGTCGAATAATGCAACTCACCTAGTCCCCAAAACATCCGCGCTGCTACGCCTAGTAGGCCGCTAGAGTTACATATACCTGTGCAACAAAAATGCACAGAAGTGTAGTATGAGTACGTAAACAACGTGTACTCGATCAGTATCCCGCCTAATCTCAAAGTAGTAGAGACGAGATAGTCGACTTCGACACATACTAGTGGTCCAATAGTGAGGTCAGTAATACATTAAATTATGGATTTCTATAAACATGATTTTAGTCCAAATAGGAGGAAACAAGCAAACAATTAATTCTTTTATAGAAAATCGTCAAAAATTCCTTTTCGTAACTATCCAAATAACTTCAAGCCATGAAGAGGCACTAATAACTTAATTATTTCAAGGCAGCAATACAAGCATGCACACATCATGCCGAGGCGACGGCCCGATCCAACAGAAATGTAAACTGTGCACTTGTCGAGGGTCGACGGCGCGCCTATAGATGCATCTATTTAATCTGCCGAGGCGTTCGGCCCGTTCCATAAATAAACACATACCCTGCTCGCGAATCATGCATGCGACACAGGTACACATAGAGATACATGCTCAATCAGTCAATTAAGAACTTACCGGGGGATATTTATCCAAATAAAACAATTTCTCTTTTATCAATTCAGGAAAATGACGTTTAATCCCTTTTTAAATTCATTTACTAATCCAAGGTGATTTAAGCAATTCAAGCTATCAAAGGGGTTCATAAATAATCCAAGTATAACATGCTGTGGGTCCTAACTACCCGGACAATAGCATAATAGTAGCTACGCACGGACTCTCGTCACCTCGTGCGTACGCAGCCCCCGCAATTAGGAGCACATAATCAATTATTTCACCTATGGGGACAATTCCCTCTTACAAGGTTAGAAAGGAGACTCATCTCACTCCGAAATTCCATAAACGGCCTCCAAGCCTTCCCGACGATTCGAATCGTTGCAAAATGCTCCGAAACTAGCCAAACAACGGCAAACTAATGAGAATATACTCAAATACTTGTTAACAATTCAAATTATACAAATTCCCAACTCCGCTTAGTGAAATGACCAAAATGCCCTTGGGCCCACATGCCCGGATTCCGAAATTTCTCGAAGATATACTCTACCCATAGCTTCATTAGCTCAAATATATAATTTACTCCTAATTCCATGCTCAAATTCGTGGTAAAATCCAATTTATCAAGTTTCTAGGTTTTCTTCCAAAAATCCCAAATTTTCCACAATTTTCATGTCTAATTCCATGATATAATCTTGTATTTAACTGGTAAATGAGTAGGAGTAACTTACCTTAACATAGATGACGAAATCTCTTCTTGAAGCTCTCCAAAAATCGTCCATGCTCTGAAGAAATGAAGAAAAATGAGCTAAACCCGCTAAAATATCATTCTGCCCCAGGTATTTACTCATCGCGATCGCGGGGAACAATTTTTCCAGCCCAAAATTTACTCTTCGCAATCGCGGAAAGAGCTTTGCGATCGCGGAGAACAGTTTCCCAGCCTTCCGGACAGCCTCTAGTAGAATAGCCATAACTCTTTGCACACAACTCCAAATGACAAATGGTTAAATGTTCTGAAAACTAGACTCAAATATATACAACTTTCATGTGTTGGTCATTTCCTAATTCCTTATAGATTTCTAGATATAATCTGTCAAACTCAGCCCATGTGTAACACAACTTTCTTCTTCATCTTCCTGGACACCCTGTAGTGTAACAGCCATATCTCTTTGTACACAAATCCAAATCATGAATGGTTTACTTTTCTAGAAACTAGACACAAAGGGATACAACTTGCATTTTTATAGCATCTCAAAATTCCTTATAGATTGTGAGATATGAGCCTCCGAAGTCGAGTCAGTGCAGTAGAATATTTACTCTACGCGATCGCGGAAGGATTTCCGCGATCGCGATTCACTGGCCCGTTTGTCACATTTTACTCACCGAGATCGCGACCAATTGCCCGCGATCGCATAGAACACTGCTGTAGCAAAAAACTAGCAGTTATAAATGGCCTAGGAATGGTCCGAAACCACCCCGAAACTCACCCGAGCCCCTCGGGACCCCGTCCGAACGTGCCAACAAGTCTGGAAGCATATCACGGACTTAGTCGAGGCTTCAAATCACATCAAACAACGTCGAAATCACGAATCGCGCCAAAATTCATCTTTATGAACTTTGAAATTTCTAACTTTCACATCCGATGCCGAAACCTATCAAATCTCATTCGATTGACCCCAAATTTTGCAGGCAAGTCATATTCGACATTACGGGCCTGCTCCAACTTCCGGAATCGCATTCCGACCCCGATATCAAAAAGTCCACTTCCGGTCAAACTTCTCAAAAACCTTCAATTTTCTGTCTTTAGCCAAATAGCTCCAAGATGACCTACGGACCTCCGAATTCACTTCCGATCGCGCTCCCAACTCCAGAATCACCATGAGGAGCTACTCCCAGTCTCGGAATCCCAAACGGACATCGGTAACACTGAAATGCACTTCAAGCCAAACTTATGAAATTTCTTCCAAAATGCCAACTTCCACAATAGGCGCCAAAACGCTCCCGGGTCATCCAAAACCCGATCCGGGCATACGCCCAAGTTCGAAATCATCATACGAACCTGCTGGAACCTTCAGATCCCGATTCCAAGGTCGTTTACTCAAAATTCCAATCCTAGTTGATTCCTTCAACTCTAAGCTTCCGAAATGAGAATTCTCTTTCCAAATCAACTCTGAGTTCCCGAAATTCAATTCCAACCACGCGTACAAGTCATATTACCTGAAATGAAGTTGTTCATGGCCTCGGACTGCTGAACGACATGCTAGGGCTCAAAACGACCGGTCGGGTCATTACACTACTTTTCTCTTGATACTCCACTCCAGCTTCTTCCCTTGCAGCTTCAAAAGATTTTGTAACATTTGCAATTAATAACCATTCTAATAATTCACTAAAACTAACATTCAGTATATAATGAAAATTTTATCTAACCTTGATTGGCACAAGGTTGAACTCCAAATTTCTCTTTATATAACAGACGTGTAGACAGATCATATGTTCCTTCTAAGCATTTGCATACAATCTCACTAACACTTGTTCCCAATGATCTTTCTAAATCCTCGTGAGATTGCAATCCACAACATTTACAATTTTTTTCTGTTACTCCTGTCTCTTTTGGATTTTCCTGGTCTTGACATTCTCCTACATCTTGAACTTCCACTCCATCAATAGATTCTACAAATATTTGTAATCACAAAAAAGTTTATATGTATTACGCTATTGAATATAAATTTCGATGAAAAAAATCAAAATCTATATCTAACGTTTCCCAATATCAGTGACGTTCTCAGTTTCATCATCTAGATGTGAATCTCTAAAATCGCTTTCATACTGAACTTCTGCATGCACATCCATATCATCACGTTCATCACCACCTGCATCTTTGTTAATTGTAATAGTAGGCTCTGTGCCACGACAATGATCATCAACTCCATCTTTAGTAATTGGAACACTAGATTCTCTCTCTATGTTCCTTTAATCAGGTTTCACATAAATTTTCAACAAAGTATCAAGCTTTGATCCTAGAGTTTTCTTTAAATCCTGAGAAAGAAACTAAGTTAGAAAGTTAAGGACAGGTAGTCCTAAACATCAAGTTACAAGTAAAGAAGTTAAGGACAGGCAGTCCTTAACTTAGAGTAACAAGTTCAAAAGTTAAGGACATGCAGTCCTTAACTTTGAATTCCAAGTTAAAAAGTTAAGGACACTTTGTCTTGAACTTCAACTTTCAAATTGAAAAGTTAAGGACACTTGGTCCTGCACTTCAAGTTTCAAGCTCAAAAGTTCAGGACACTTGGTTCTAAACTTCAAGTTGTAAGTTCAAAAGTTAAGGACACTTGGTCCTAAACTTCACGTTTTAAGATCAAAAGTTAAGGACATGCAGTCCTTAACTTATAGTTTTAAGTTCAAAAGATAAGGACACTTGGTCCTAAACTTCAAGTATTAAGTTCAAAAGTTAAGGACAGGCAGTCCTTAACTTATAGTTTTAAGTTCAAAAGTTAAGGACACAATGTCCTGAACTTAGACTAACTGAAACTAATGATATTACCATGATTTCATTCTCAATCTTTATTTCTGATACAACTATTTTCTAATTTATTCTAGTAACTTCAGCTTGCAGTTCCTTCTTAAAACTCTCTGATAATCTCTGAATCAAAAAACATAAAAACAAAAAAGTCTCGTAAGCAAAAAATAATCAAATAAAAAACTAATTCTATTCAAAAGCAGAAAACCTACTTTAGCAATTTCCTTAAGCATGGCTTCATCAAATTGTGTGGAAGAAGGCATTGAGCTTTGATCTTGAGAAATTGGCTCTTCCACACTAATAGGCTCTGTATCTTCTTGAATAGGAATAAATGGTGACACCTCGACCAACTTATACAACTATAATAAAACAAAAAATAAACATAAGTTTTCAGAACTAAAACAAATAAACAAAAAAAAATAGCTAGTAATTAGATTAACTTACATTTTCATTATGGAAGTATTTCTTACACAGAGAATCATACTGTGGAGATTTCATTTCTGAATAACACAACATCCGAGGATAACCAGATCCTTGGAAGTTCACAAATTATTTTTCCTAGAAAATAGGAATTACTTCCATAATCCAAACACAAAAGGCAAAAGGAAAGCCAAGTATAGTGTAGCTATCCTTGTCTTTATCTTTGTCTTTCTCATTCTCATTCTCATTCTCATTCGGCTTCAAACAACACTTCAATGATTTTAATAAAGTTTCATAAGAAAGAGAGCCCCAGTTGAAAGAAGAGCAGAGTTTATCATCGTCTACAATTTTCATTATCTGCTCGGACACATTCCTATTCTTCCGCTTGCCCTTCAAAACAGATTCAACAAAATAAATTGTTGCCAACTTCTCAGCATCATCATCGCTGCCTACAAATGATGCAGCTGTACCATGTGGGTGACTAGTAATAAAATTAAACAAATCACCCAACTCAACTTTATCCTTTCCGGGGAAATAGACTTTCAAAAGTTTCTCTTTTTCATGTAAACCTTTGATGTCCGATGAGGAATAACACTTCAAACCAGTAATTATATGAAATGCGTCACGTGTAAACTTAATTTCACGGTTAAAAACCTTGAATGTCATCGAATCAGGGTCGTTATTTACAATTTCTGAAAGCAATACACAGTGAATAAGTTTACCACAGAACTTCACACTTTGTAATCGGAAAAAGTTTCCGAAAATACCATCCCTCAACTTCTTCCACTACCTGTTTGACAAAAAACTTTTGATTGTTTCCTTGTACTGTAAATCTCCTTTCCAATAGACCAGAAAATTACGCCAAACATCAAACTCAAACACACGATCTCCTTCCATTATCACACTACAAAGAAGGAAAAATAAAATAAAGATTAGGACTTACATTTAATTGGAGGGACTTGGTCCTTAACTTCAAGTTTCAAGTAAAAAAGTTAAGGACAAGCAGTCCTTAACTTAAAGTTTCAAGTTAAAAAGTTAAGGACAATAGGTCCTGAACTTCAAATTTAGAGTTCAAAAGTTAAGGACACTTGGTCCTTAACTTCAATTTTCAAGTTAAAAAGTTAAGGACAGGAAGTCCTTAACTTATAGTTTCATGTTGAAAAGTTAAGGACACTTGGTCCTGAACTTCAAGTTTCAAGTTCAAAACTAATGGACACATGGTCCTTAACTTTGAATTTCAAGTTCAAAAGTTAAGGACACTTAGTCCTGAACTTTGACTTACAAGTTTAAAAGTTAAGAACACTTGGTCCTTAACTTAGAATTACAAGTTAAAGAGGTAAGAATAGGCAGTCCTTAACTTATACTTTCAAGTTCAAAAGTTAAGGATACTTGGTCCTTAACTTAGAGTTACAAGTTAAAAAAGTAAGAACAGGCAGTCCTTAGCTTATAATTTCAAGTTGAAAAGTTAAGGACACTTGGTACTGAACTTCAACTTTCAAGTTCCAAAGTTAAGGACACTTGGTCCTTAACTTCAAGTTTCAAGTTAAAAAGTTAAGCACACTCAGTCCTTAACTTTGAGTTCCAAGTTCAAAAGTTAATGGCGTTTGGTCCTTATCTTTTATGAACATAGTTAACTAAAAATTCATAAACACAGTTAGCTTATGAATTCCTACGACTATTTTTATGAAATGTCCTTACATAATCAAATACATTTCACATTTCAATACCAAAAAGTTCTGAAAAACAGCATCACAAAAATACGCGATAACAACAAACACATTTCACATTTCAACACAAACACTGAATCAACTTATAATGATTATTTTTTAAATTTCACACATACTTGACACAGCATTTATCGTGATTACACATATACAAAAACAAAAATGCATAAAAGAGAAAAAAATTACCAGTCAATCGTTCGATGCAGAGAAGATTAACGACAAAGATGAAGAAGGAGAAAGATTAACTGCAGCTCGTTTGCATGCGAGGATGATACAGATGCTGAGAACAAACGAAAGCCCCAAAATATTCGCTCTCAAATTTTCCCTCTTCTGAATGAATAAAACAAGGGTTTGAGAATATAAGAATAGAAGAAAGAGTAAAACTGTCTTTTTCCTATTAGTAGTGGCTATTTTGCTGAGCATTATAATTAGTGGATAAAAATTAAAGACTCCCTTAATTAGTGGCTACTACACGCCATTTTTACGCGGATTAATGAGGGAAATTTGGGCCTAGACCTTATCTTGGCCCAAATCTGGAACCAACAAAAAATCCTTTCTCTTTTCTTTTTCCTTGATTTTAAAAATCCTAACTTAATTAATCAAAAACCTAAAATCTAATTTGTGAAATAAACTTAATTAACTATTTTTAATATTTGAACAACTAATCAATTTAAAACTAATGAAATGAAATTACTAATTTAAAGCTAAGGCTAAAATGTAACATGACCAAATTTTTTGTGATTTTCTGTTTAATAAATGCAATTAACTTATGCAATTAAATTCTAAATGCAATTAAAGCCTAAAAATGCTATGTAATGATGATTTGACATTTTTTGATGTTTTTTATGATTTTAAAAATATTAAATGCGCACAAAATGCAAATAATTAATTAAGAAAATCCTATAAAACTAAAAATAATTTAGAAAATCTATTTTTTTTAGTTTTTCTAGGAGTATTTATAGTCGGGCGAAAATCACGTGCTCACATTGTCAACCAAACTTCCAATATGATTTGTTGCTTGCCTATTTTTTACACAAGCATGGAAATATGTTGTATTTGAATCCCCTAGTTTGAGCCATTTAATTCTTGATTTCTGCTTCAATATACTCTCCTCGACCTCTAGCCAGTTAGCCAATTCCATGTTTATATCTTTTTCTTGAGCTATTATTTCACTGCCATTCCCCGGTCCTAGCATTTGATCATGTATACCTTCCAATTTTGATCTTGCTGCTTGAATTTTATGCCCAATGTGTTTGAACTCATGACTATTCAACTGTTTCAGCTCCCCCTTTAGCAATTTGAGCTTATTCCAAACCTTAAACATTGCATTTCCTTTGCTCCCTTTTATCCAGCATTGTTTCACTGTATCCTCAAACCCCTTATGTTGTGCCAGACAATTTAGGAACTTGAAAGGTCTACTTCCATCTTGGTTATTTTCATCAAAGGTTGTGATCAAAGGGCAGTGATCAGAGAAACCAGGATTCAAAATACTCCCCTCCATTGTAGGCCAATGATGGATCCATTCAGCATTAGCAAGAATTCTGTCTATTTTACTGTGATAACCCAAAGAGTCATCTTGTGTTTTAGAATCCGAATCTGGGTTTCGAGTCCTTGAAACCCTCATTTTTCCTTCTCCTCGATTTGCATGCGCGGTCACGGCGCTTTTCCGGAAAGCTTTTTATGTGAAATCTAAGAAAACATTGAAATTAGCCTTTAAAATTAATTAAAGTTGACTTTGGTCAATATTTTTGGTAAACGGACCCGGACCCGTGACTTGACGGTCCCGTAGGGTCCGTAGTAAAATATGGGACTTGGGCGTATGCCTGAAATCGAATTCTGAGGTCCCAAGCTCAAGAAAAGAATTTTTTAAAGAAAATTATTTGCTGGAAAATATAAGGACTTTTGGAAAAGAAATGGTGTGTGATCTTGATGGTATTAGGCCCGTATTTTGGTTTCGGAGCCTGGTACAGGTTTAATATAATATTTAAGTCATATATGTGAAATTTGGTAAGAATTGGAGCTGATTTGAAGTGATTCGGACGTCCGGTTGTGAAAATAGTAAATTTGAAGTGTTCTTGAGGAAAATCATGAGTTTGAGGTTAAATTCGTAGTAGTTGATGTTATTTTGGCGATTTGATCGCACGAGCAAGTCTGTTTAATATTTTTAGACTTGTGTTCATGTTTGGTTTGGAGCCCCGAGGGCTCGGGTGAGTTTTGGATAGGCCACAGAGTGAGTTTGGACTTAGAGAAATGGCTGTTGCAGGTGTTCAGTTTTGTTGCATGCTCTGATCTTGCAATTGCGAGGTCAGGCTTCGCAATTGCGTGCCTGTCAGGCTTAGCAATTGCGAGGGGCTTTATCGCAATTGCGAAGAAGCCATATCCAGCTTTGTTCGCAATTGCGAACACTCCTTCGCATTTGCGCAGTCAACAGGGCTGGGGAAAACTTCGCATTTGCGACCAAAAGGTCGCATTTGCGATAGCAGCAGAAGTGCGGAAGGTTCGCAATTGAGATGCCTTTCTCGTATTTACGAGCTTCGCAAATGCAAAGCTCCATTCGCAATTGTGACATCTGCAGCTGATATGTTTGGACTTAGACGGGATTTTCACTTCATTCTTCAAAATTTCAAAACCTAAACTCCAAAGGGCAATTTTCCTAGAGCAAGTTCTTCCCCAAATCATAGGTAAATGAATCTTAACTCTTTTTCTTCAATCTATTTCATCTTTTTACATGATTTCACTTCAAAATCTAGGGTTTTTCATGGGAAATTGGGTGTTCTTGGGTAGAAATTAGGATTTTTGAATTTTGGGGATTTGGACCTCAATTAGAGGCCAGATTTCAAAACCAATTGCATATTTGGGTTCGTGGGTGAATGAGTAGTCGAGTCTTGGTTCGAACTTCGAGTTTTGACCAAGCAGGCTCGGGGTCAATTTTTGACTTTTTGGGGAAAACATTGAGAAATCTATATCCATGCATTAGAATTGGTTTATTTAGCATTTATTGATGTTATTAAGTAAATTATGACTAGATACAAGCGGATTGGAAGTGGAACCGAGAGTTAAAGCGGTAATTGAGGCTTAATTTTGTCCGTGGAGTTGAGGTAAGTGTTTGGTCTAACCTTAGCTTGAGGGAATAGGAGTTGTGGTCTTAATTGCTATGTGCTAGTGCTGAGTACGACGTATAGGTGTAGTGACGAGTATCTATATGTTGGTGTCAAGCATACCCGTGAGTCTTATACCATGATTGTTGTGACTCTTATTATCCATTGTCCATGCTTAAATTGATGATTATCACTGTTGAACATGCCTTATGATAATTTCTTGGTAATTGACCATTGTTGAGTATTGGCTCAAGTTGAGACTTATTCTGTGAAGTTAACTATTGAAAATGAGATTGGTTATAGTTGATTCCCTTGCCGGGATGTTATTGTTTCTATTGTTGATTCCCTTGCCGGGATGTTATTATTTCTATTGTTTGGGTGAGTAAGAGTGTAAAGCACGAAGGGTGATGCCGTGCATGATATTGTGAGTGAATGTTAATGCATGAAGGGTAATTTCGTGCCGATATTGAGAGTGTTAATGCACGAAGGGTAATGCTTTTCCATGATTTGAGAGCTAATGCATGAAGGGTGATGTCGTGCCATGATTATGAGAGTTAATGCACGAAGGGTGATGTCGTGCCGTTTCTGTCGTTTCTTATGGTGAGAACGAGAGTAAAAGCACGAAGAGTGATGTCGTGCACATGTTACTGTTTCCTTATTCCCGTTGATACAAATATGACGTTCATTATGCTTCTCTATTGAATTACTGTTAGAATTTGATATTCCCTGCAGCATGTTCCCCTTCCCATCTTTATCTGTTATTTCTTGTCATTATTGTTCTGTTCGTATTTGATTTAGCTGCACAGGTTTATGTGGTTGTCGTGTCCTAGCCTCGTCACTACTTCGCCGAGGTTAGGCTCTACACTTACCAACACATGGGGTCGGTTGTACTGATACTGCACTCTGCACTTTTGTGCAGATTTCGGTGCCGGATCCTGTGAGTAGATTCGAGGTTGCTGCCTTCAGTCTAGGGAGACCAAGGTACATCTATTGGCGTTCACAGAGCCTGAAGTCCCCTTTCCCCTTTTAGTTTCCTCTGTCTCTTCTATTTTGAGAACAGTTGTACTTCTTTCAG